TTATTTAGCTCAGAAGCACAACTTTGAAGTTACCTCCTGGCTCAGTGATTTAGCCCTATAATGCCTCATATTTGATCCGGTTTCTGAAGTCTTTTGGATGTGAGACTTTTTGCATCATTCAGTGGTAAAAGCTTTGCTCAAACCCCTGTTGTACACATTCAGATATACCTGATAACAGCCAGTAGAACACTACACCAACATACATTTTTTACTTATTGCACGCTAATTTGATCAAAATAATTCCTTTTTTTTCTTCTTCATATGTTGTTTAGATGCCAAAGAAAGACTTCAGACTAAAAAAAACAATATTCTTCCTATTTTTCAGATATTACCATATTACTATATTTTCAGATATACATGATAAAAGCGAGTAAAGGACTACACCAACATATAGTTTTGACTTATTGCACGCTCATTTGATAAAAATAATTCCTTTTTTTCTTCTTCATATGTTGTTGAGGGGCCAAAGAAAGACTTCAGACTAAAAAAAATCCAATATTCTTCTTATTTTTCTTGGATCAGGCTTTAAAGGTTTAAATCTCAGCTGGAAACTAAATGATTTTCCACACACCATCTGTCCTGTCTCCATCTTTCCACCCAGAAATTAAACCCAAAAAACCAAACATGAATCAGGACTTCGGACTTCCAACACGGCTCAGTGACCAGTCGGATCATCTCCTCAAAAATGAGAAAAAAAACTACTTGTTTTTTTTTACCTTGTTTGTTTCCAGGCTGAGAGCAAGAGGTCAACTCTTGTTTTTCCAGCTGTTTTAAAGCTGGGACCCTTTTCCCTCCGTTTAACAAAGATGTTCAGTAAGGAAGGAGAACTACTTAAGTACTGTATTAAGTACCCAAATGCAGTATCTGTACTTTATTGGAGTATATATACATTTTCCCCTACTTTTACTTTTACTCCACTACATATTTTTGATTAATTTAATACTTTTACTCCGATCGATTTTGAATCTTTACTGGTTACTGATATGTTAACGTAATGAAGATAGATAGATAGATAGATAGATAGATAGATAGATA